TGGACTAGAAACAGCAATTTTGATAAGACCCTCACTTTTACCATTGCTGATCTGCCTGGGAGGGTTTGCTCCATTTCCCCCCTTCAATTTTCTTAGAATTGTTTGCCATACAGGGGGATAGTGAATAGAGCGTGTTAAGGTTTCTTGTGATAATTCTTCTTAAGTATCTTAAACTATGTGTGACGGAGTCTAACGCCTGCGAGTTCTGCGAATACTTCTTGGATCTTAGGTGGTACACTGAAGCATAAAGCTCCAGATTTTGAGAAGCTAACTTGAACACCTGGTAATGTTGCAAAGTTGCTGAGCAATCGAAGTATTGCTGCTTCCGTGTTTGGCAGGCCAGGTGTCAAAATCATTACATCATCAGCAAATAGCCTGGTCGTGTAGTTTTGTTTTCCAATTTGGGCTCCCTTGATGTAGCTAATGGTTCTAAAGCTAGGATGAACAAAAAGGGAGAGTGTGGAGCGAGTCTTCAAATCTCCACTAGGGATGGACTGATAATTGTTTATCCTTACTGTGATGGAAACTTCAGAGTATATTTGTTTCAAAATATTTGATTGCCCTATTTTTTACTGTGAGTCAAGTTACGGTTTCGTGACCTGTTTAAAGTAGAACTGCAAAACAGGGCATTTCTCATCCAAACTTTTCTTTTTCCTTCCATTATCTTCCACTTAATCCTTTAAGAGTGTATCCTCCTACAACTCCTCTCAGAATCCAGCAATTCACAAATACCAGCGTCAGGGGTGACAAAAGCCCAACTGAAAATGCCATGCACCAACAGATTATATATAAAAGAGGCTTAGAAGATGCTTTTCTTTCCTTGGCTCCTCAATGTTTTGTACCCTACTGGCGCCACTGCAATCTTTCCCTAGAGCTCTACGGATCCCCATGTTTTGTCTTCCTCTCTGTGGTCCTCCTGCCTGCTGTCCATTCATGTTTCTGATTTATTTCGCTCACAGTCTCCATATAGGTTGGTGATGTTTTGCTCCAGGCGATTATATTACAGGCTAAGATTCAGAGAGGGTGGAACTATGCATGAATGGATGCCCGCTGTGAGGGCAATAAGTAAACGACTAGGCACTTGCTGTCTTCTCACAAACACAAGCAAAAAGGGCCCACCCTCCAGCCATGGGTATCATTTAGGGAGGGCAAGGGGCATCTATGTCTCTCATTCTGCACTCTGATTGACTACTGTAATAAACAGTATGCAAATAAAAAGCAATATGTGCTAAGTACGCATGCCAAAGGCACACTTTCCATTGCTTCATAAAACGGAGACCTTTTGGCCTGTGTTGATAACATTGCTATAGTATGAGGTACAGCAAAGTGCTCCTTTGGTCATTCCACACCAAATCACCTGGTGCCATGTGCTCTCACGACTCAGATTTTCTTCCAAAAAAATTATTATGTGTAGATACCTATGAGATAAGCTCAAAATAATATTTTAAGATTTTTTGGTCCAAAATTGGGCGCAGGAGAATATTTTGAAAATTTTGAATTTTGAGGAAAATCTGAGTCGTGAGAGCACAGTCGACTATTAAAATCAAGTGATTTGGCATGGAATGACCCCCTTTTAAATAATGCTGAAAACTTCCTCCCCACTACCCTGAAATATCCCGCCCCCTATTTGAAATGTGAGGGGCTTTATTTCTTAGGGCCCAGTGGCAGCCAAAGAGAGAATCACAGCCTCTGATGCTCTTCAGGGAGGCAGGATCACTAGCGCTGCTTAGATGGCACTGCCAAACAGGGCTTTACATCTGTCCACAAAAGAGCTCTGTGTGGTCAGTCATGATGGTTTCTATTTTACGAGTGGGACACAGAGTCCAAGGAGTAGGTTTGCCACCTTGGAATGGTCTTAGAGAGCCAACCTACTCCTGGAAGTTGGCATGGCGGCAGCAACCGTCTGGCCTGTGGTGATAAGATTGGCATTCAGTTGCTTTGAGGAATAATCTGAAGTGTGTGTGTGTTGTAGCTTTCCATTTTAAAGCTTTCCTGTGGTTCTTGGCTTAGACGCAGTGTTTCTCAACCTTGGGTTCCCAGATGTTGTTGGTCTACAACTCCCATCATCCCTGACCTCTGGCTTTGTTAGCTAGGGATGATGGGAGTTGTAGGCCAAAAACATCCAGGGACCCAAGATTGAGAAAGGCTGGGCCTTAGAGTGTGGTCATTTCCCCCTCCAAAATGGCGCCCGTACAGCCATATCTACACCCAGAGTAGGTCTTCCTTCCCAGGCCTGAGCAATATACAAGTTCAAAAGGATTGTCTCATTTTCGAAGTTGGTTATTGGGAAGTTCTCCTCTCCCCACACATACACTCCACAAATATCTTAGCAAAATGCTGCGGGTCTTCAACTGGATAATAAAATAATAATACAAATAAAGCGTAGCTCTATTGCTTGTTGGGACTTAGAGACAAGAGAGGTTGAACATTCTCTCCGACTCTGATACAAATCAGTGTTTTAAAAGAAATCCAATAGAGAAATCCACTTTGTCGTGTCATTTGCAATCTTTCTGGCATCCAACTTCTCTGAGACTTTTTGGTGAAGCGCTGAGCTGAAGTGTGGGGGGGAAAGCCTTCAAACTGAACTTCACTTCTTGTCTTCTGTGTCATTTCGAACTCTGGAATATTTGTCCTTCCCTTTATTTGGACTTTCCCTGCTCTCGTGAAGCATCTTTTGCTGTAGCATCTGTCAAGTCTATTTCATCCTTGTAAAAATAAAACACGTCTTTTAGCATAAATGAAAAAGCAGACAGAAGAAAGAGCAAAGAAGAATCATGCTGCTCATATTATTCATTTTAGTCCAATATAACTGCAGAGATTAAGGCCTTAGTCCTTAACACTAGAGCACGAATTTGATTTGAATAAACTATTGTTTTAATAGTAATTTAAATATTTTTTTAAAATTAATACACACACCTTACCATGTTTACCTATTGAACATAAAGGGGCTTGCTCCCAGATAAGTGTGTTTAGGATTGTCTTAGACTATGTTTGTACTTTCTTCACAAGGTAAGGTCCTCACCTTCATGCCTGTACAGTGGTACCTCGGGTTACAAACTTAATTCATTCCAGAGGTCCGTTCTTAACCTGAAACCGTTCTTAACCTGAGGCGCACTTTTGCTAATGGGGCCTCCTGACGATGACGCGTGATTTCCATTCTCATCCTGGGGCAAAGTTCGCAGCCTGAGATACTACTTCCAGGTTAGCGGAGTTTGTAACCCGAAGCATTTGTAACCCAAGGTACCACTGTACAGTACACAGTGTACAGTACTGTACACAGCCACACTTCATTGACAGCACAAGCCAAAGGATCTATACCAGCCTGGTTTGTTTGCTTAAGTGACTACATGCAGGGGTATAAGTAATGCACCATTTACACGTTCGCTATATGTGACACAAGATTCCCAGTGCTATTTTTAAAAGTCCAGTAATCAATATTTTCAAGATTGTATCACGAAATTAAAAACAGTGTGTTTAGGTATCATTTGTTGCAGTCCCTTCTAAATACAGTGGTACCTCTGGATACGAATGGGATCCATTCAGGAGCCCCGTTCGTATCTAGAAGCAAATGTAACTAGTGACGGCACTTCTATGCACACACATGTCGCTTTTCGCCGCTTCTGCGCATGTGCGGAATGTCATTTTGAGCATCTGCACATGCGCAAGCGGCAAAACCCGGAAGTAATGCGCTCTGAGTAATGCGCGTGGAGAGCAACTCGAACACGCTCAACCTGAGGTATGACTGTATTTGTTGTCCCTTCTAAATATTGTATTACCTATAGTGATGTTGTTAGCGCAGGTCTGTTACATACACACACCCTTTTCTTTTGAAGCAAAGGGATTTGTGTCTTATTACGTGTAGACAAAGCGAGCACCGGACTCCTAGAAAGAGCAAAGGGACTAGTTCATGCTCTTGCGCAGAATCTTCCTCCTTGCAATGACACAAGTGCTGGTGATAGCTCAGCCTCAGAAAACAGCCTCAAAAAAAGGTTGTGAGGGTTTGTTTGTTTTTAAGATAGGCTTGTTATGTGTGTGCATATTTGATTGCCTTTTTTTTTTAAGGCAATTGTTGGCACTCTGTGCAATCTGAGTAATGAGCTGCAATTGCTCCTGGGTGTAGGTCCAATTTGCAGCTATCACACACACACACACGCTTTTGACCACGTTGGAATGGCAAGAAGGTAAAACGAAGAAACAGCCTAACTGCTTTCAGTGCTGACTTCTTGAGGAACTATAAACAGCTGATTCAGGAAAAGGAAATAATGTTAATATATTTGTGCTCGTAAGAGCATGCCGCTGTGTTGTGGAAAGTGTTCTTACAGCAGCCTACCGAGTTCAACAAACCATGTAAAAAGTGAATGGTTTGCTCATTTGCAAGCTGCACGCGCTCTGTTAGCAGAACGGGCATCTGACCATGTGAATGAAGGCAATGTTTAGCAAGATGGCCCCCATAACTTTTTATGAAAAGTGAAATTTTAATACACTGTTTATCGATGAACTGAGCTGCTTGTTTTCTTTTTACTTCATCATCTTTGAAGGTAGAGGATACATTCACATGTGTGCATACACATTTGTGTATATGTGTGTGACAGAGAGACAGAGACAGACAGATAGAGAAAGACAGAGACAGAGAATATGTGTGCATATAAATTAGGGGGAAATAACATACGTATATAACTAATTAGGTTGAAAACAATCAACATCTGATCTGGTCCTCGGCTACTCTGGTAAAGTGCTATAAATATATACACGCCTATATTAATATGGAAAGGGGCTGAACGCCCAGAAAGTCTCTTGGCAGCTCCTGCTGTCTGGTTAGAAAAGGAAGCGAGCAACAACATCTGAACATTCAGTTCTGAGACTTGAAAGATTTCTGGATTTTATTATGGGCTCAACAGGGTTTTCATTATGCATGTGGCCAAGCGGAGAGGTTTACGCAAGAGGAACATATTGCCGCTGAACGTGTTTGTAATTTTACACATTGTTAAATAATTGAGATGAATAGCTGTTTTTTTCTTTCTCACGCAGCAAACTGCAAATTGTTTACGCTCTTTGCACCTGGCAGCTAAACTCAGGCTGCTATTGAAAAGTCCCTTCCAAGAGCTCGTAAACCTTGTAGCCAAAACATTCTCTGGAATTCTGCCTGGGTCAGAGGAATGTGCCACAGCGTAGGCACCGGCAGATATTCCTGTCGACCTCCCCGCGTCTCCACTCTGCTGATAAGCAGGCGAGGTCCGGCGATTCTTCTCAGATGTATGAGAGGAACACACCGTTCTTCCTCTCTCCCCTTTGGTGTCCCCAGGTTGGGTAAAGAAGCAGACAGAAAACTATTTACATCATTTATTTCTGCCTCTTACATCAGTACAGAGAATCATGTCTGCACTCAACAACAGCAAGAAGAAACTCCTCCCAAGTACATCCAGTACGGGTCATATGACACACACACACTGAGCTAACATCCGGTGCTCAGTACAGAATGGACTGCCCCTTTGTTCCCATGGCAACAGTCACAAACATCCTGTCTGGCTTTCCAGCCACAAGCAGCTGGCTGAGCTGCTAGAGCCTTTGCTTGCTGCAGCATTGGTGCTTTATGGTAACATACTCCCCTAAAGTATCAATGTGTGCCGCGAGCAAAGCGTCATCCAGAGAAGAAAACAAACAGTTGTTATATTTATAACATTCCCTGTTGTTTCAGTTCCACCCTTGGAACTACCCGCCACTGGTTTAACCAATGTACCTCTCTGGTTGTCTGGCTTCCAAGGAATGAGTGCTTCTGCATTACCTTGGCTAGCTACCCTCTGTTGTGTCTTTGTCTCTGACGTAGACACTGCTTCAACCTGCTTTGAGTTGTTAACAATAGCAACACATGCAACAGCTAAGTTAGCAAACTCTTTTGAGTACCTCTTTGGTGGTACACCCTTTGTAACTCTCTCAGACCTGCGTATGAGGTTCTGATCTTCTGTGCTCACTGGTTCAACCTTTGGACTCTGTTGAGAACCAGTAGCAATCAGTGGTTCTTCCTTCACCTGTGAAGGTCTATCCATTGTGTGAGATTTCCTCTCAATGACTGTGACAACTGAGCTGTCTGAGCTATCGCTGTCATCATCAGTACTACTGAACTCAATAAGATCAAACTCATCATCATCATCATCAGAATCGTTTCCTGTGGGAAATGTCTGTACTATCCGCTCTTGCTTTGGAGCACTCTCTAGGAACTTTGTGAGAATCACCTGACCAGATTCAGACAAAATTACTCTGTAGAGACCTTTTTCATAACTCCACAAAAATGCCTCTGGCATTCTTTACACCACCTGGAGCTTCTGTTCTCACATGAGACCCGAAAACCTTAAAATAGGCAACAGAAGGTTTTCTATTGAACAGCTTCTCAAAAGGAGAACATCCCAACTCTGTTGAGACCTTTCTCAACCACACATGAAGATAGGACGCTCGCGATTCAGCCCAATATTCATGTGGCAAATGTGAACTCAGCAATTGCGCATTCATCCCCTTTTGCAATTCTTTGTTCACTTTTACACAGACCCCCCTGTTCCACGCTTCTTGCGAAACTGCCACTTTGTGGTCTATCCCTTTTCCATCCAGGAACTTCTGAAACTTCTGTAACAGAAAAATTTGCTTCTCATCTGTGAAAAGACAATCAATGTTAGCATCATGCATACTTTTAACCTTGTCACAAAACTCCTGAAACTTTTCTAAAGTTTCTTGCGGTTTCTCCATCATATAAACCCAAGAATAATTAGTGAAACAATCCACACACACAAGGTAATATCGTGCACCGCCTCTAGATGGTTCTAGAGGACCAATCACATCAGCATACACCCGCTGAAATGCTCTGTCGACCTTCTTGGTCTTAGTCACCTTCCTGGTGCTCACACTGGTCACACCTGCAAGAGAGATTTCGTTAGAAACAGAAGAATTACATTTCATGTAATCACTTTGATCAAAAGTCAACAAATACAGTCCATCTTTCTCTTTGGCAGTAAGAAACAGTTCTCCATCTTTGTAGATCTTGCAGCTTTTAGCATCATAGGACAGTTTCAGTCCTTTCTTTGCAATCTGCGACACGCTCAGCAGATTAAATCTCAGTTCTGGAACCAGGTAAACATCACTTATAGTCAAGTTCAGACTCTCAAGATACACAGTCCCAATTCCAGTTGCTTCCAACTCCTGACCGTTGGCCTGTTTCACAGTGAAGCTTTGCTTCTTCAACGTCGAAAACAGTCCTCTGTGCGGGCACATGTGAACCGTTGCGCCCGTGTCAATTATGAACGAGTTCCCAACATCTGGCGTGGTTCCTTTCGCCATCATAGCCTTTGCAGGTTTCACCTGGCACTTGGAACGGCTTTTGCCTGACGCCTGAGGCTTCGTAGAGCTGCTCTTTGCTCCTCTTGACTGGCGCGGCTTCTTACAGTTTCGCTGTAGATGCCCAGTCTGTCCACAATTGTAGCATCGGACAGCTATCAATTCTACAGCATGCTCTCCAGTAGCATCAGCAGTGGGGAATTAGAACTCTGTTCTTCCCTCCCCTGTCTTTTTCTTCCAGTGCAGCAAGTCTGTCGTGTTCATTCAGGACCACAGCACAAACTCTCTCCGCGGTCAGCTGCGCGGCCGGTAGGGAACCAAGCTGACTGGCAACAACCTTGTAGGTGCGGCTAAGGCTGTTTATCATCATGAAGCAAAACACTTCCTCCTGAAGACGGAAATTGCGTTCCACCATCTGTTGACGCAGAAACTTCATTTCTGTCAGGTGCGCTTGAACATCTCCATCAGGCGCAAGTCTCAGATTGGTCAATTTCTCAAAATACAGCAACGCTGAAGAACCAGCATCTCTCTGATGCGTTGTACGCAGCGTGTCCCATACCTCTTTCGCATTTTCTAAATGCTGAACATGCACCAACTGATCATCTGAGACACACAGAATTATAGCAGTCCTGGCCCTTACATTCTGTGACTCCCAACCTCTGGTTGGTGCTGCAGGGATGGGGTTTTCAATTACATCAAAAGCCTCTGATTCTGCAGCAGGGCCTTCATCTTTACAGACCAAGATGAATAATTGTCATTGGTTAAGGGAGGTGGGCAAGGCAAACCTCCCCTTTCTTGGCATCCATCTTGAAGCCAAGCCTCTCTCACCTCCAAACAAGCTGCAAAATCCAACAGCTGTTTTTTTCTTTCTCACGCAGCAAACTGCAAATTGTTTACGCTCTTTGCACCTGGCAGCTAAACGCAGGCTGCTATTGAAAAGTCCCTTCCAAGAGCTCGTAAACCTTGTAGCCAAAACATTCTCTGGTTTTGTTTCGCTTTCCCAGGCTTACACTCAGAGTCCAGCCCCTTGCCAGTAACTTTCCAGGACCGTTGCCTAGCAACAATGCATTTCAATGGGACTCTTATCTACCACAAAAATTTGTGGAATGCAGGCTTCAGCCTTCAAGCTGCAGGCCTCTTCCTCTCGGAGCTTTTGTTTTCTTTGAAACGCAGCTCCGTGAACCAGGGAATTAATCTTCCTGCGTTCACACTTTTAGCCCGAAATGCAGCATACCTTGAACTTTGTTGCTCTGGAAAACACCTCTTCTTTCCATCAGCTGTCTGTGGAGCCTCTGGCTTCTTTCAGACGCTTCTATTCCTCCTTGGAGCAGTGGAGGACAAGCCACCAGCCTCTCATGCAGATGTCCGATGAATCGCAACCATCCTCTGCTACCACTGTTGGAATTCTGCCTGGGTCAGAGGAATGTGCCACAGCGTAGGCACCGGCAGATATTCCTGTCGACCTCCCCGCGTCTCCACTCTGCTGATAAGCAGGCGAGGTCCGGCGATTCTTCTCAGATGTATGAGAGGAACACACCGTTCTTCCTCTCTCCCTTTGGTGTCCCCAGGAGGGGAAAGAAGCAGACAGAAAACTATTTACATCATTTATTTCTGCCTCTTACATCAGTACAGAGAATCATGTCTGCACTCAACAACAGCAAGAAGAAACTCCTCCCAAGTACATCCAGTACGGGTCATATGACACACACACACTGAGCTAACATCCGGTGCTCAGTACAGAATGGACTGCCCCTTTGTTCCCATGGCAACAGTCACAAACATCCTGTCTGGCTTTCCAGCCACAAGCAGCTGGCTGAGCTGCTAGAGCCTTTGCTTGCTGCAGCATTGGTGCTTTATGGTAACAATCTGAACATTCAGTTCTGAGACTTGAAAGATTTCTGGATTTTATTATGGGCTCAACAGGGTTTTCATTATGCATGTGGCCAAGCGGAGAGGTTTACGCAAGAGGAACATATTGCCGCTGAACGTGTTTGTAATTTTACACATTGTTAAATAATTGAGATGAATAGATACCTTCGAACTGCATGCAGACCGAAAAGAAAAAAGAAAAGAAAGAAAAAGCCAAGGGTAAGGAAGGCTAGCAGTGTCAAGGCAGATTGACAAGAGTAAACAAAGGCAAAAGGACATCCTGAACCCGATTCTGTGCTGCTAAAATTAATAACAGGTTGAGAGTATTGACTTGAGGCCGCTTAGATCCATTTAACTACCCTTGCTGCTTGGCAAGTCTTGAGGTCGCTGCATCCACTTCTCCAAACTGGTCCACCCCTTACTCCTTCCCCTTGCTATCCTTAGTAGCGCTTAAAAAGTGAGGGTGAAAGGGCTGGTACTGGAAGGTGGGGTGGAGTAAGGGGAAGCACTCCACAATGAATTGGTTTTAGTCAGTGCTGTTTTTGTTGTTGTTGTTTTTTAAGAAAAAGGTTCTGGAACTCACCACAAACGCTTCCCTTCTTTCTCAATGGCGTCCACCTGAGAGGTGCCGGAACTGAGATTCTGGCTGAAAAACACACACCCTGGTTTTAGTTAGTATATTGGTTGATAAGGTAAAGGGACCCCTGACCATTAGGTCCAGTCGTGGCCAACTCTGGGGTTCTGGCGCTCATCTCACTTTATTGGCCGAGGGCTTCCGGGTCATGTGGCCAGCATGACTAAGCCGCTTCTGGCGAACCAGAGCAGCACACAGAAGCTCCATTTACCTTCCTGCCGGAGCAGTACCTATTTATCTACTTGCACTTTGACGTGCTTTCGAACTGCTAGGTTGGCAGGAGCAGGGACCGAGCAACGGGAGCTCACCCCGTCGCGGGGATTCGAACTGCCGACCTTCTGATTGGCAAGTCCTAGGCTCTGTGGTTTAACCCACAGCGCCACCCGCGTCCCTTATATTGGTTGATAAAAGGGTTCTATTGCTACAAAACAGTGGGGACAAAAATCATCAAAGCACCAGCGGAGAGTTATATTGCTAATGTCTCTGTATCATAAAATAATCAATCCTATCTATTACTAAAACGATCATAGAGATTATTGCAGACCCTCCAAGTGTTCCTATTTTCCAGGGACAATCCTGGATTTACAGAAGCTATCCTGGCTTCTGATTTGATCCTGGTATGTCCCGCTTTTCCTTAGGCCGTCCCTATTTTAATCAGATAAGTGTTGGAGGGTATGGTAGGATGTCCCTATTTTCATCAGAGAAATGTTGGAGGGTATGTTATCGGCCCCATATAACTGAAGTTAGATGGGGCCAATACCATTGGCCCAGCTAAGATGGCTAATACTAGGTTGATGTTTACGCCCCTGTAGCTGGTTGGGATCCTATTATCCTCTAGGAATGTAACTGAAAGCACAATAATAACAGAGGAAATGTAGCAAAAGCCACTCCCACTGAGCCCCTAACAACTTCATCACAACCCATCAATCGCATTGTTGCTACTGACAACACCCCTACACTAGCTGTGTCGAAAGCAACCTTATGATGATGACGACCAGAATGCAGTTCTTCCTGGAAGGGTCCACAACACACCTAATACAATAGCTAAGCAGCCCAGAGAGCAGCAGTTGATGCTTGCAGCATTAAGGTCCAAGCCTCCCCTTCGGTGATGTGTAGACACCAGAGGAGATATTATTGCAGGGAGTGGCAGGGAGCTCAGCCAATGAGGCAACACCTTTGAGGTTACAAAGCTCCCCTTGGCTTCTCTGTTTCCCTCCCCTGTCCCACCATCTTCCAGATTGCTCCCCTTTCCTTCCTGCTCTCTTGGTCATTCCGCTTTCTCTCAAACTGCTCAGGTCTGAGTAGAACTGAGCCTAAAAAAGCACATTGCTGAGAGAGGAAGTGGGGAAAATCTTGGCCCTTGAAACTTCCTTTGGCTCTATTAATTTTTCCACGTGTCAAAAAGTAGCTTACCTTTCTCACCTCATAGCGAAGGGAGCAGGAAACAGGGGAGGGGGGAGAGGCTTAGAGGTTTTGTTGGCGCTGGGGGAGTCCTCAGTGGCACGTTGGTGACCCCAGAATTAGGCTGCTAATCCAAAATGGAATGTTCCGCTACTTCCAAGGATACACAGCTACATTACAGCTGCACCATTTTTGTTCTGCTAAAATTTTATATCTGGATTAACGACCCATGTGCTCTAGGCAGCGTTTCCATTGAACGCTCCTAGGTTGGTGTCTGAATCTCTGGCTACCTTTGGATTCAAAAAGATGAAAGCTTAAAAGGTTTTATAGTAGACTGTAGCAAATGCCGATCCTACTCAGAGTAGACCTATGGAAATGGCTAGCTTAGGCCCGTTTAATATCATTGGGTCTATTCTGAATCAAACTCAGTTGGATGCAATTTTGTTTGCCAATACGTGTATATATTGTGCATCATCCTTGTGTCTTTCTTGTTACACCTAAATGCATCTTGAAGGTCTCACAGTTCTTAAAAGCTTATATTAATTAAAAATAATAATATTGTGGCGTTTCTCAAGACGTCTCACCAGCTGACGGGCTCTGACTTTGTCCAGATTATGTGAGGTTAGACTGCAATGTAAGATATATCCGGCTCAAAATAGTTTTGTGTGGTTTTTCGTTCACGTTGCTTGCAATGCCCTCATTGACATGCTTCCATAGCTGATGCACACGTTATTTCCCCCACTTTGCCAGCATGCATAAAGTTATACTTGGCTGTCCCTTGCTTGTCTGTCATCCTCCCAGGTTGACCTTTAAAAAAAAAAGAAATCCTTTCAAACATTGTGCTCTTGCAGACTCATGTAATCCTGGAACGGCCCAACTAGAATGAGAAACAAATGGCACAGACCAGCCACAGTTAAGCACTTTTAAGTCCTTGTCTGGGTAGGAAGGTGCCCCCACCCCTTCCCAGCTGCAGCTGCAGATTTTTCCTCTCCCTCTGTGACCTCAGCTGGAGAGAAATGAGCTCTCTGGTAGCCGGATGCCTTCTCCTACTCTCCAAGCTCCAGTTTGTATGCAATGCTAGTCCTGGTCACAGTAGACCTGTTGCATTTCATCTTCAACATGTCCTCCTATTAGTAGGACTAGCATTGGATTCAACTTGAGGAACTCTGTGAACCTTCATTTCTGGCAACCTGCCTTCTGAGCCATTGTAGGCAATTTCTGGGCCACACATGTCCCCACAATACCTAAAGGTAGCCTGACCACAACAGTTAGCAAGTTAGCAAGATCCATGAGACCACTACCTTGCAACAGCTAAGCCAGTCTGGGGCTGGGCAATGCCTGGGTTGGGTAACCACCTGAGAAAAAACATGTACATTTTCTTGAGTTCGTGACGGAAGAAAGGTGGAATATGTATAAACCACAATGCCGGTCTTAGGAGTGGGGAACTTACACGGGGCGAGTTACGTTGCTTAGAGCAAGTTTTGTATGCTGCCCTATAGGTATACTGTAATGCCACTCTACTGAGAAAGCAAATGGGTTATAAGGTGCTGGGGAAATCTTTAAAAGATGGCAAGTGTTTCTTGAGAGTTCTAAGATACATTCAGCAGCCCAGCCAAGAAAAGTATACCGTATTTTTCGCACCATAGGACGCACCGGACAATAGGACGCACCTTGTTTTAGAGGGGGGAGAACAAGAAAAAAAAATCTCCCCCTCTCTGCCCAGCGCCCCTTCAGCGAAGCGGCAGGAGGCGCTGCGCAGAGAGAGGGAGAATTTTCCCCCTCTTGTTTTCCCGCTCTAAAACAAGGTGCCGTTTAAGGTGCGTTCAGGCGGCTACCCTGGAAGCCTGGAGAGCGAGAGGGGTCGGTGCACACCGACCCCTCTTGTTCTCCAGGCTTCAGGTTCCTTTCGACCTGCTCTTTGGGGCTGGCGGGGGGAAGCCCAACACCAGCCCCAAAGAGCAGGTCAGGGAGCAGCGGAAAGGTGCAGCGGGGAGGCTGCTGCCATAGCCGCGCATCACCTCTCCAGCCGGGAGAGGGTCGCGGGGGGCTGCTTTAGCCCCGCGCGCGCTCTCCCGGCTGGAGAGGTGACGTGCAGCTATAGAGGCTCCTGCCATAGCCGCGCGTCACCTCTCCAGCCGGGAGAGGGTCGCGGGGCTATGGCGTCTTCGCTCCATAGGACGCACACACATTTCCCCTTCATTTTTGAAGGGGAAAAGTGCGTCCTATAGAGCGAAAAATACGGCAATTATACAGCTGGTATATATTATGCAAATGTATTGCTTCGTATACATTTTGCATAACTTATCCCTCGTCTGCTAGTAATGGGGAAGAACAGAGACATGTCCATGAGGCATCTGGCTCTAGGGATTTTACCTGGCATTGACCAAACGCTTTCAAACCCTTTTTGGTAGCCCTAAGGGCTAAAAACTTGCTTTTTTTTGAAAGAGAGAGAAAGAAAGAAAGAAAGAAAGAAAGAAAGAAAGAAAGAAAGAAAGATTCTTAAAATGCGGACTTCTCTGCCTGTTATCAAATAATTTACTTTTTCTGCAAATGTGTAATCATGGAATATAAACAGTACTGAGTAGGTTATGTTAGGCTTTCATGTGTAAAAATGGCGTTGGGGGGGGGATTTTGCCGAAACGGCAAAATGTCATGGAAAACCCGGATGTATGGTAACACGATGGAAAAAGCAGCAGAAACGGTTCAAAAAGCTTAAAATCACTATTTTGGAGGGAGGTTTCCCCAAGAAAGCTCAACAACTTTGCAGATGTCGGGATTTCACTTTTTGAAATATGGCAATCCTAGGTAGGTTTGCACAGCAGCACAATTAACACAAGTCCCCACTTGCCAGGACAAATCTGTGTCACCAGAGGGAGCTTATGAATTCACTAGACAAGCAGGCTAGCAGCAGAAGGCATCACTTCTTGAATCTCTTCAAATTTCTACTTGGTTCCCACCATTTGTTAACTGAAAAAGAGAAGCATTTGTTTGGGGGGAATATTTGGCTTTGTTCAGCCACTGACAATTCAAATGAACAACCCCCCATCTCTAAGCATAAGAGCTGCCTGCCCACTTCTCAGTTGCCCTCCTGAATGCATTTCAGGACACATTGATTGTACTAGCAGGTGGGCCTTTGCCAAGGGAAGGGCCTTGGAAACGACTGTGAATTGCCTTATACAATGAAGGATGCCACAGAGGCAGCATCTGAGACTGAAGCCAGGGCTGAAATATAGGACATGGACAGAACAATCCTAGCACTCTGGGTAATGTGCCATGTATAATTTCTGTCCTGTTTGGGGTGGGGGCGGGAGAAGCAAAATATTAGTTTCTAAAAGGATAATTTGTGAGCTCAGACTTCTCTGTCAGCTGCAGCATCTGACGTGGAAGCCCTGTTTTGACACATGGCAAGTGACCTGGAGTGAATCGGTGCTGAGGGAAATTTACTCTGTTATGTACATGGTGCTGTTATCATTTCTCAAAGGCCAACTAAATAATACATGCAAATGCATGTAATGATACCCAGTGCTTCTTCTGTTTTTGTGGCCTTCAGGTGGCCTTCAGCAAAGCACGCTCTCTCAGCCTGCATTATGGGGATAATAATCCTGACTTCGCTTACTGGGTTGCTGGTAAGGATTACAACTAGATAATGTACGCAAAGTGCTTTGAACACTTGGAAGTGCTGTACAGATGTTAAATGGTGGCGGTGATGAAGATGATGATGGTGATAAGGGATAGCTTGGGAAGGGAGTGCTTAATTCTTTCCCCTTCTGGTATCTTTCTTCTCCTAATTTCCCTCTCCAATGACCCCCAGTAACTGTGCTTTGCTACATTTTGAACCCGCTGGGGTGGTTAATTTTGAGCAGAGCAACAGTGGGCAAGGGGGAGTGTTGATAGCTTTTCACTCAAAGTTTCCTCCTCCTCAATGATGCCTCTTCTTGAAAATAGCATTTGGGGCTGCATAATATGCACTGTAGCCACTCGTGGTTTTTGACATGCAAAAGTGGTACTTACATTTTAGTACAGTCATACCTTGGCTCTTGAACGCCTTGTGACTTGAACATTTTGGCTCCCGAATGCTGCAAACCCGGAAGTGAGTGTTCCAGTTTGCGAACGTTTTTTGGAAGCTGAATGTCTGACACGGCTTCTGATTTAGTGCAGGAAGCTCCTGCAGCCAATCGGAAGCCACGCCTTGGTTTTCTAACGTTTTCGGAAGTCAAATGGACTTCTGGAATGGATTCCGTTTGAGAACCAAGGTATGACTGTGCTGACATATTTTAATAATCACAATGTTGGCAAAACTTGACAAAAGGTTGCAAGTACTAGTTGGAAGTTCGTGTCTCCCCCCCCCAAAAAAAGTATTTTTCTTTTCTCCTTGAAGCATAATACCAGATGTGTGTGAGAGTTTTGTTATCACAAAGCCATCTTTTCCCCCCTGACGGCTGATATGTGATGCTATGCTGTCCCATTTGCGGGGTACATCACTGAACTGGACGCCTGCAGAGCTGCCTCTGTTCAGATGAGTTCTTCCGCTGTGCAAAAATGCATGTCCAATGGGAACTCTGAGAGGTCAAGAAATAATAATAATAATAATAATAATGCTAAAAACGCAGACCAAATAGCTTTCAGTGCAAGCGTCTCAAGCATGTTTGTCTGGGCAAAGCTGGGGACAAACCTGAGACTTCCAGAGCACTTTGGGTCAAACACTGATATGCAAGAGGAAGAAAATAGCAATCAAGTGTTTTTGTTCTTGTGCTGCTTGTTCCATAAGCAAAATATGTGCATAACGTTATAGTGGAAAATGCTAGATCATTTTCAGATAGCAGTGCGAAGAGAAACATTTCTAGTGGCTTCTCCATGACCATGAGCTCTTTTCTCGTGACTCAATTCTGGAGCATCCTTCTTAGGACTTTAAACGGAGGACTTTTTGAAATGGGATAACTTATGGCCAGGGTTGGAGAGTAAGGGATTGTGGGCATAGTTCATGGCCAGAAGCAGGAATCAGCACAATGGGGCATGTGCCAAGGCTCAAGCCGTAGCAGGCAGTTCACTGCCAATTCCTGATGCCCTGAGGTTTGCCTCCTGGAAAAGGGCCGGCTAGGACAGCTGGCATCTGAAAGTGCTGTAGTTCAGGGGCAGAGCGTCTGCTTGGCATGCAGAAGGTCTCAGGTTCAATCCCCGGCAAGCCCAGATAAGGCTGGGAATACCCCTTCGCTGAAGCCCTAGAGAGGCATCTCCAGTCATTGTGGATAATACTGGGAAAGATAGAAGGCAGTTTCCTCCAACCTGGAGCTAGCCCTACATCTGCTTTAGGTTGAGTTTGACAGGAGTAAACTCCATATACTTACCCAGAATGTGAAGAATGGATTGGACTAGCTAGAAACTTCTGAACAATGTGAAAACTTTAAACAGGCCATCTTTCATTACTAGGAATGCTGTTTGAGGCAGGTGAAGAAGTCCACCCCTGACCCACATATGATAATTCCTCAGAAGCACGTGTTTATTATGCGGGATACGAATGCTCCTAAAATACATCACTCTTTCCTGTTTAATCTTCAGTGTATCCAGTGACAGGCCTTTAAGTGATGGTGTCAGTCTTGGCTGACAGCTCAAGTCTCTTCTTCTATCCCAGCAGAACACTTTCTTCACCCATCCCTATTCATTGTATGCCATGTCTCAATAAGTGATATTCAAGAGTGTGGTCTGAAAGCTAAAAGATTAATTGGTCATGCAAAAAACACCACAGTAAAATCAGAGCGGGGTGAATGCGCTTCAAGTGGAGCTCCCTTTGAAGGTGACTCAGAAACTACGACTAATCCAGAATTCGGCAGCTAAGCTGGTGACTGGGAGCGGCCGCCAGGACCATATAACACTGGTCCTTAAGGATCTACTCTGTCTCCCAGTACATTTCCAAGCACAATTCAAAGTGTTGATGCTGACCTTTAAAGCCCTAAACGGCCTTGGCCCAGGATACCTGAAGGAGCGTCTTCACCCCCATTATTCAGCCCAGACACTGAGGCCCAGCTCCAAGGGCCTTCTGGTGGTTCCTTCACTGTGAGAAATGAAATTGCAGAGAACCAGGCAGAGGGCCTTCTCAGTAGTGGCACCCGCCCTGTGGAACGCCCTCCCATCAGATGTCAAGGAGATAAATAACACTACAACTTTTAGAAGACATTGGAAGGCAGCCCTGTCTTGGGAAGTTTTAAATGTTTGATGTTTTATGCTTTTATATTGGTTGGAAGCCACCCAGAGAAGAAGAAGAATGATGATGATGATGATGTTGCATAAAGGATATTGTGCATCTTATTTTCAGTACATTTTACGGTCAGTGGGACACAAATCGTTGCAAGAGGAAGGGAAGGAAATAGCCTTGGCACATAGCAACAACATTATTTCCCATGGAAGAGGAAATAAAAAATTATTCCATATACAGCTGAAGTCCTTCACATTCTTGAGCTTTTCATGGTCAGAGCGGAAGCCTTTGATGACAGCAAGGATGTTAACTTGTCTGGAATCTTTCCCCTTTGCACCTTCCCCTTCCATCCCATAAAATGCAGCCAAGAACAGCGTCTTCTCAAGTAACACAAGAACTCAGCTCAAGGTCTCACTATATCGGGTGAACCTCTTGGCTAGGGGTTTGGGTCAAGTCCTGCAAGCTGTAATAACAAAGCCCTGTTAAGAATGGTTACCCTGACCCACGTCTGTTGTTGTCACTATAAATTTTGAAAGTGCCTAAAAATACTGGAAGGACAAAGTGTGGCTTTACTAGTTGACCGTTATTCTTCGTGCACGGCTATGGACGGAGCAAAATTTACAAGGAATCACGATGCAACAACTGTGCATGGATTCTGCTGCAGATGTGTTCCATGCAGGATGACGACCGCAGAATTGTACAGGATTGGAAGGAGCCACCAGGGTCATCTAGTCCAATCTCCCATGATGCAGGACTATTTTGCCCAATAGGGGGCTCAAACCCACGACCCTGAGATTAAAGAGTCTCATGCTCTACCAGCTGAGCTATGATGTCCAGTTCAGATGATATTGTGCTGGCAGGGGCTCAAGCAGCATGCCACATGGTCTGTATCTTTAGCCTACCTTGGTAGCCTTCTGTCAAGCCTCTAATAATAATAATAATAATAATAATAATAATAATTTATTAATTATACCCCGCCCATCTGGCTGGGATTCCCCAGCCACTCTGGGCGGCTTCCAATAAAACACTCAAATACAATAACCTATTAAACATTAAAAGCTTCCCTAAACAGGGCTGCCTTCAGATGTCTTCTAAAAGTTTGGTAGTTATTTTTCTCTTTGAGATCTGGTGGGAGGGCGTTCCACAGGGCGGGCGCCACTACCGAGAAGGCCCTTTGCCTGGATCCCTGTAACTTGGCTTCTCACAGCGAGGGAGCCACCAAAAGGCCCTCGGCACTCGACTTCAGTGTCCGGGTAGAACGATGGAGATGGAGACGTTCCTTCAGGTATACTGGACCGAGGTCATGTTCTTGAGTGACAGAATGTGTAACACCAGTACCTGTAATTGGCTGGTAGTATGCAGCCGCTGAATTGGCCAGGTCTGGTTGAAATACTGGGAGCCCGGCCGGATCAATGGGACAAAATTTCTGTCCTTTGAAGTAAGCTCCTGGGATCCTCAGCTGGGGATCATACCCTCCAGGTCCAGACTGGGTATAAGTACACAGGAATATGCCTTATAGTGAGTTGGGCTATTGGCCCATGTAGTTCAGTGTTATCTACACTGCATGGCAGTGGATGTCCAGGTTTCGGATGATATTATTCCCATCTCTACCTGGAGATGTCAAGAATGGAACCTGCGACCTTCTGCATGCATGCAAAGCAGATGCTGTGGTCATAGGTAGGGCTGCCCATAGTTCCAACTTGGCCTTGATGTGCAGGTGTAGATCAATGCACATTTTAGTATTTTTTATATACATACAGATTTTCATACAAATTTAAAAAGGCACGGACTAATGTGGAACCAGGACAGAACACGGTTAGGAATGAACACAACACAGATCAAAAACCGACTGATCCGCCCATCCCTACCCCAAGGGTGCCTCCTCCTGGCCTCTGTAGACTCTGCAATAACAATAAACATGTGAGGCAGGCTTTTGGAAGCTGGCACTGCTCCTACCAACCACGGCAGTATCACTTAAAGGAACACAGCACCACAGTCCCATGTTGGCTTAAGGAATCCAGCTCCAATTTCTGTTGGGTGGGCAAAGAAATTTCAGTGCATGTGAAGTTTAGCCTTGAAGGGCTGCTCTTGGATATATGCAGGATAAAATTGCAAAGGAGTAATGCACTATATCAACTTATATTGTGTAAACTTTTGTTTAAACCTTACAATAGCAAGACTAAAAATACTGTCAACACAGCTGGTTCGGATATAACAATCAAACAATGGTTTGGCTGTCTGGCCTCAGTTTCACACTTCCTCCTCTCTTCTTCTCACAGGGAGGTCTGGTTCTCTCCCTGACCTCTTAGTTCACAGCAAAACCATTGTTTGCTGTCGCATCCAAACTGGGGAAACTGTGGTTTGCAACTACAGCTTGAATACAGTTTCCAGTTCTGACATGTGGACAAACTGTTCGCACCCCCATTTCCCCATTCTTAAGCGAATGAATCTGTAAACATGCCTAGTTTAATTTCACTTAACACTTTAATTCTCTTCATTTACTTACTTGTTATATTTATACTCCACCTTTCTTCAGTGGTATCCAGGACCGTACCATGTCTAATGTAAGCCATACATTAAGAATTGAAAACAGTATAGAAATTGGATTGTATCCACTGCTCCACATATGAAATTCCGCTTGCACAACAGGACTTTCCTTTCCCTTCCTCATGCTGTGTGCCTTTAAAATCTGCTCCAGGGGGGTCTTCCAACTTTCTAGAGCAGATTTTGAGGGTGCAGAGGGGTCTTCACAGGAGAGGAGAGGAGAGAGAAGTTCCATTGCACAAGTGAAAGTCTGCTTCACAAGCAGAACAGCAGCATTGCTAGTCTCAGAAGTCTTTAAAAAAGAAACAGTTCTGCCTTCAAAACAACAAAATCCATATTTCACATAATTTTTCAATAATAAATAAATACATCACATGCAAAACAAACAAAAGAAAAAGAAAAAAAGAGCAGGGATTAGGGAGAAGAAGGCAGGGTGGAACATGTGGTGGGTGTGTTTCTGAATCTTTATTTTTTTGGACCATCATACGATACAATTTATTTGGAAAACAAAAGCAAGTTGCCTAGCCATTTCCAGTTCATGGTCTTCCTTCATTACTGAGCATTTTCAGTAATATTTCAAAAACATGTAGCTCTGTTGTTACACAGTAACAGAGCTGTAATTTGCAAGATTTATAGTAATTTATAAGAAATCAAAATGTGATATGTGACAGAGTCTGTTGGGCTAAATATGCGTGTGTGGTCTCCAAAATTCACCATATGTGTCTGTCAAGTCAGGATTGGTTTGCTCATCAGACGTGCAGCTGGCCAGGGACAGGTCATGCTTGCAAAAATGACGCAGATGACTAATGGCTGCTTGACAGCATCACCAGCCGCTAACTTAAGATGGGGATGTGCACGATACAGTGTTTTGAGCTCATCGCTCTGGCTCATCCTGACCAGCCACTTAGAGGCTTAAAATAGAAACCACCTCAGCTGGAGAAAGTACCACACACTATAAAGTTTCCAAAAATAAATGTGATTGTTGCAGAACTGATTTCTGGAAGTAGTGTGCACTTTGAGCCCCTTTCTGGCTAATGCATTTGCACCCAATAACCCCTCGTTTGATTAGAGCTATTAACACTAATAGCTATTAGAACTATTAACACTATTCACTTACCTCACTGAAGTGGAAACATAGCCTAAACCGGAGCAAAACCAGTTTAGATATTCTGTTTACAGATTAGCACCGGATCCCTTTACAGTGGTACCTTGGGTTATAGACGCTTCAGGTTACAGACGCTTCAGATTATAGATTCCGCTAACCCAGAAATAGTACCTTGGGTTAAGAACTTTGCTTCAGGACGAGAACAGAAATCGCGTGGCAGCAGGAGGCCCCATTAGCTAAAGTGGTACCTCAGGTTAAGAACAGTTTGAGGTTAAGACCAGACCTCCAGAACGAATTAAGTTCTTAACCCGAGGTACCACTGTACTCTTCTTGATAAAGTCTTTGGTTTTTTTAATTGATTAAGAATCATTAATAAGACAGCATCATCAATGTACACAGAAATTGGATAGTGGAGAAGAAAACTAAGGGGATGAACTGAAGGGAGGGATGGAGATGCAAGTGTAGCATTTACACAGCATGGTGGGGAACCCTTCTCAGAACAATCCATAGGCCAGTGACGGGCAAGGACAAAAGTGGGAAGAGGAATGGATGGATGTGACTCTTGCTTTGTACAGTAGGCTAAATTCCAGCCGTACTGAAATTTAAAGATTTCCATACATCTCCTAATTGCCACCTTCAGTTCTAGCAAGTAAGATGTGTTATTATAAGAACATAAGAGGAGCCTGCTGGATCAGACCAATGACCCATTTTGTCCAGCATCCTGCTTCCACATTGGCCAAGCAGATGCCCACAAGCAAGAGCCAAACACAAGAGCATCCCTCCCCCTCCTGTGGTTTCCAGCAAGTGGTGTTCAGAAATATATGGGCATGGAGACAGAGCGTTGCCCAGTTGGCTAGTAGCCATTGATAGGCTTATTCTCCATGAATCTGTCTAATTCTATTTTAAAACCAGCCAAGTTGGTGGCCACCATCGTCTCCTGTGGGAGTGAGTTCCATAGTTTATCATCATGGAGGTTTTTTTTGAAGCAAAGCAAACCACAATTCCTCATTTGGACACAATGCTAAGCCAGGGATCATGGTTTGTTTCTCCTGCATACTATCAGGGAGGTGCAAAAGAACCCAGTTTGGTGCATTCACAGTAAACTACTAGCTGTGTTTTCACCATGTGAATCAGTACAGATCACAGAATAGAACTATAGAGCTGGAAGGTACCGCGGGGGTCATCTAGTCCAACCCCCTGCAATGCGGGAATCTTTTGCCCAACATGGGACTCGAACCCACCGCCCTGAGATTAAGAGTCTCACACTCTACCGGCTGAGCTATCCACGTTTTGTTTCAGTTGGGGTAGTGAGGGTTCAATGGTTAAGTCAGATCCTTCCTGGAAGAGGTAGGATTTGAGGAGGAATTTTAAACAAGAGAGATGTATCTCCGTAGATGTTCTGGGATGTAATTCTAAGTACAGAGAAAGAGACAAGGCTGAGGTAGTTGGACAACTGAGGATGGCAGAGTTGGTGACCTGAAGCCATAGATATAACAGAAAATAAGTGACAGTAAAAAAGTCTGAGGCAAAGCGCTGGTGTGGAAGGAAATGGGAAACCATTGTGGATGTCTGAGGAGACATGGCACGTGTCCTGAGTAATAAGATGGATAATGTTCATCTAAGATAGAAAGCTGTTTCATAAGGCCTCTATCACCTGCCAGTGCCGATCAACACAAAATATCAGAGCCCCACATAGATCAATGCAACCAAGACTTACAAGTATGCTGGAATCAGAAAGCTGGAGGCAACTTCTGTGTATTTCAAATGGAAAAATGCTTGTGTGCCCTTGGCAACTGTTGTGGAGAACACATATTTTGTACTGGTATATTTTTACTTGAGTACAAAATGTGAGAAGACACCCTCCAATTATCTATTCAGCACACTGCATGGGTCATTTGGTGACTGTGTTGCGTTCCTTTTACCCAAGCAACACCCTCTGCCTGTTTTTCTAAAGCTATGGGTATAGATTTGGAGATTTGGTCAGATCAGAGATACAGGGGTGCTCCATACCAAATTATCACAATTTAGATGGCAAGGTGAATGGGTTCATTTCTGAACCCTGAGAAACAAAAAACATAAGATGTAACCTGTCAGAGTGGATTACTGTTTTATACTAACTAATTTGTTGTTGAATTTTATATAGAATATGTTGTATATGCAGTATATACATGTTTTAAATGGATTAAAAATGTAAATATATAAACAAAAGGGGGGAGGGAGGTGTGGAAAAAAATTAATGGGCTAATTTATGTACTGAAAGGAGTAATTTTGCAGTAAATGGTGAAAAGATGAATAGTCAAGCCACACACCTTTTTTGTGTAGGTCAGGATTCAATTTTGGATTGTTGAGTTGTGCTATATGACAAGGCAGGGCTGGAAACAGTTTATTTCCGGCATACGTTCTGCTAAAGTTTAGTTTAACTATTACACGATTTGTCTGCCATTTGTTGATTAAGACAATCTGTCTTTTCCCAAAGTACACTTGAGTTCGCATACAATTTCCCCCCGCATTTGTGCACTTTTCTATAATACACCATTTCAAGGCAGATGCACTTATTAACAAGAGTGTAGGCTGAGGAGAAAAGGTGTGGCCTGAGGAGACTTCTGGGGAGGCTGCGTTTGATCTCCAGGCTGAGGTGCCTCTAAAAGGGGGGGGGGCACTGCCAATTCTTGGAGCCTCCTGGCTCTTTTGGTCCCCCTCCTTGTTTTTGTTGCCTGTTCACCTGCCCTCTCTGAGCAAGAGAGCAGTAGGAGGAGCAAGGAGGAGGAACAATAATCTCCACCAACCTTGCCTTCTTCCTCTAGGAGTTGGTGCTGATGGAGCCTGGCAGAGTCAAGTACAGTGGTACCTTGGTTCTCAAACTTAATCCGTTCCAAAACCAAAGCATTCCAAAACCAAGGTGCGCTTTCCCATAGAAAGTAATGCAAAACGGATCAGTCCATTCCAGACTTTTGAAAACAACCCCTAAAACAGCAATTTAACATGAATTTTACTATCTAATGAGACCATTGAGCCATGAAATGAAAGCAATAATCAATGTACTGTACTATAAAATAAATAAAACAGTATTGTAGATGATAAAAATTGAAAATAATTTTTTTTCTTAGCTGCACTGATGATAGTCACTGTTTGGATGGGGGGCTTTTATCCATTTCCACAGTCACACAATCAATCAATTAATCAGTAGCTGAACTGGGTTCCACACAGTCACAAAAACAAATTGACCGAAAAAGCCTCAAAAACAAAAATGCAAAATAAATGGCAAAAACAAAAGCACCAAACTTAATCCGTTCCAGAAGCCTGCTTGACTTCCGAAATGTTCGAAAACCAAGGCGCAGCTTCTGATTGGTGCAGGTGCTGACAGCCGCATCCGATGTTCGGTTTCCGAAATTCGTTTGAAAACTGGAACACTTCTGGGTTTTCGGCATTTGAGAACCAAGTTGTTTGAGAACCAAGGTACCACTCTAAATGGGAGGTGGACACAGTTGAGGAGGAGGTGGCAGGTGCCCGTCCAGCACATGAAGTTTGGTATTTGTGCACAAGTATTTAAAAATAACTCTTTGGGTCTCAGCACATAACCTTGTTTGGACAGGCGTGCTCTGTTGTCTCTCATACTAGTGGCAATGACAAAGTGACTTTGGAGAAGAATGTGGCCACAAACAGATACTCTATTCCATTTGCCATCTAAAGTTTGTGGTTGTGAAGATATTTCTCCAAGATGACTCACAAATGGAATTCTTCTCTTGACTGAGAATTCACCTATTGGATTACACTCCACGTCACCACTTTCTGCATGGTGCCTCAGTGTCTCCTTTGCCCACCAGCCCATCCCACTGTTAGAATTCCTGCTCCGTGATTGCAGTCATGGGATTTTTGTCTATCACATGACAGTGTATGTTTTGACTCCACAGAGTGGGAAGTGACGGAGACAGTATGTTTGTGTACTGTGTTCCATGAAGTGGGACTATTGTCCTTTGTTCTTTTCCTCTTTGCTGTCTGATGCTAGAGAGAGATGGAGCCATGTTGCAGTGCACCGTGTGTGTTTATATGTAAATAAAGTAGATTAGCCAAAATGCTGAGTTGCTGAGGTCTGTTATGCAACTGTGAAGACTCTGCGGATCCCTAAGTGTGCCGATGTCTGTTGGCATCAGTCGCTGTGATGTTCGGCCAGAAGAAAGCTTTTGAAGCTCCTGAACGATCGACCAGGAGGGAGGGAACATGCTAGTCGGGCGTGTGTCTCTGCCAGGGTCCTACTCGAGAGTAGGACGAGCTCCTAACACCAACCACCCATTTTGCAAATACATAGCATAGTGTTTAGGACAGATTGTCCCCCTGACACTGGGCATATGCCTAATGGATAACGAATTGGGCTGTCACATTGAGCTTGCACACTCTTCCCACTGGCAGCATTTGGATGATCGTATTTCAGCTTGATAAGCCAAAATACAAATGAGCTTCATGCAACCGCATACAATGGTTTTGCTCCTCCCCTTCATTTGGGCAGGTAAACACGCCAGAAAGCAAAAATGAACAATGGCTGCCCGTTAAACGGAGATACGATGAGCCTCCCGCACCCACATTACAGTTAATGGCTTCCATACAAGGCAGGATATAAAGTCATGATTTCAAGTTAGCTTAATATCCTGGCTTGTGTGGAAGTCATTAACCACAGTTTCCTGGTTTGGATGTAGCAGGAAGCTATGATCAATTGCAGCTTCCTGGCTTGTTTTCTCACTTGCACAAAGGGCACATGCAGGCGCAGGAGGCTCATTCGTATCTCAGTCTATTAAGCAATGTTATGATCAAGCCAGATGCAACCGCTGTTTCTCTCTGTGTTTAATGAGAACTTGGACACACATGTCTTCACAAATATACTGTGCTTGCATCTTTCAAGACAGAGCTGAGAAACCTGTAGCTCTCCAGATGCTGGATTCAACCCCCTGACCTTTGGCAACGCTAGCTGGGGCTAAGGGAAGTTGGCATGTGAGGGTTTCTCCAAGGCCACAGGTTCCCTAGCCCCATGTTAAGTGGTGAAAGTATTGCAAGGATCAGTCAGTTGGGCATACTCTGCTCATTTCCCGTGTCACATTGTATGGGAAGATTGGGTGGTATTTAACTAAGTTCCTGCAGCAGTGCAAGGGCTAGCGATACTACAGAGCGATTCCCACCCCCTGCATATACTTGTCATGGGCCAAGAGTCAGCTTCACCTGCTGAACAGCAGCCTGAAGCGGGAGAAGGCAGAGGGACCACCTGCGGCTGATCAGCCTTCAAGGACACTGAGAAGAAGGCACTGATGAGAACCAAGCTGGCTTCAACTTTAAATAGAGCTCTCAGCAACAGTTAGATGCTGGAAATAACGCCTGTGGTTCCCAGCCCTACCCTGCTGCTTCCTGTTTCCCATCTGGACCCTTGGCTTCATGATCATCAGATTCCCTGACCCCTCCGGGTTGTCTGACTATGTGGATTGCTGTTGGTCCAACCCTCGAAACGGACCTAACTTTGTGTGCTGAATCTGTCTCCAGGAAAGCCTATCTCAGAGACTCTTACGTTCTGTTTGGGGACTACGACAATACTCTGTGCTGTCCCAAAATCTGCCCTGGAGATTTAGGGGCTTGTGGGTGGGGGAGGAGAGTGGAGTGCTGTGTTGAATGCAGCTCAGTCAGGAAGTTTTTAATGTTTGATGTTTTACTGTGTTTTCGTATATGCTGTAGGCTGCGCAGAGTGGCTGGGGAAACTGAGCCAGATGGGTGGGGTATAAATAATAATAATAATAATAATAATAATAATAATAAATAATGTGGGTGGCCACTATGAGAACAGAATGTTGGACTAGATCAGAATTTGCCCTGTTCCAGAATTTGGCTTCTTATGCCCAACTTGTATGATGTTTCTGGGTAAGTGGATGCAAGGCCGGCCCACCCATGAGACAGGGCGAAGCAGCCTGCTCAGGAGGTAGAAGACCTGCCCCACCCCACCCTGAGACACCCCACCGCCTCTGCAGTTGATGGAGAAGCGGTGCCAGCACTGGTGCCTAATTCTGGTGAGATCTCACCCAAACCTCATGAGATCTCACTGGAAGCTGCTGCTGCCGCACAACCTAAATAAGAGACGCTGTGGCAAGGGAGGCGCGGTGGGGGTGGGTGGGGCTGCACTTCCCTTGAATGGGTGCATAAGGTGGTGGTAGAAATATTTTGGTAAAGAGGTGTGCACACCAGAATATATAGCCTAGTTTGGCTGGTTAATCGGAAATGACTTTGCTGCGCAGGATGAATGCAAGCTCCTGTACTACTAGCTTGGTCCTAACTGGTAACTGGTTAGCTAACGTTAGTTCTAACACTATTCCGAAGAGCTGTTTTCATAACCAGAGAAAACCAAAATTGTGGAAAGTGGAATAAAGAAGCATGTCCTTAGATTGGGAAGTAGCAAGCTGAATGAAATGCCTTATTTAAATAAATAAAAAATGTATGTAACAGTCAAAGCACAGGTCCTTTCTTATCCAACCTGAAATTATATAAGGTGGCCGGTTGGGGTATTTATATATATTTTTTATTTTTAGTGTTGGACTGGAAGGTAGTTTGCGGAAAAAACAACTCGCAATGAACTGGTGGTTGGAAAATGTATTTCAAACTACTTAAAACTTAAAGCTAAACATTCTGCCTTTAAGTGTGGCTTTTGTTGAATGGGTTGTGCGCATGACACAGTAAGTGGTGGGATGTTATGGTAATTAGTAATGACCCTTGAATACTCTGGTTTACCACAGTGCAGAATACCAAGTGCAGTAGCTTTTCCAGGAAGGTTTAGCTCCATCTTCAGGATTAACTGCAAGTCTCCTGTTTCAGCAACTTTTCAATTATTTCAGTCCAACTCTTGGAGTTTCCATTCTGGAAAACAGCATGTCCTTTTGACATTTGACTTTTTTTTCCCCCTTGCGGGGATTGGGGTGGGGGGGATGTTCCATTCTCTACCTTCCTAGTAATGAACTGTGAGGTTATGCAAGGGAGGAGAGTGGGTGGGGAGGGGGGATTTTTGAACCACTTGTTCTGCGACAGATATGGGTGGTGGTGTTTTTTTCTAAAGTATGCAGAGCCACACCATAGAAAGATCTTAAGACTGCTGCATTGCAGGAAAACCTTCAGGATTTGCGATTTCTTAATCCTGCTTAGGAAGGGGCAAGAACTAATGGCAGCTAGACTAGAGATATAGCTAAGCACTGGGAACTGGGAGGAACTTTACTTTTGAAGGATGGCTCCGTAGAATCTGGAATGTCTTCATGGCAGAAAAACTGGCTTTTTTTACTTTTAAAGGGGAAAGCAAAACCAAAGGATTTATTTTTATTTTATTTTGCAGTCTGGTACTCTTTTATGAGGGACACGGGTGGCGCTGTGGGTTAAACCAGAGCCTAGGACTTGCCAATCAGAAGGTCGGCGGTTCGAATCCCCACGACGGGGTGAGCTCCCGTTGCTCAGTTCCTTCTCCAGCCAACCTAGCAGTTCGAAAACACGTCAAAGTGCAAGTAGATAAATAGGTACTGCTCCGGCAGGAAGGTAAATGGCGTTTCCGTGCGCTGCTCTGGTTCGCCAAAAGCGGCTTAGTCATGCTGGCCACATGACCCAGAAGCTATATGCCGGCTCCCTAGGCCAATAAAACGAGATGAGCACTGCAACCCCAGAGTCAGCCACGACTGGACCTAATGGTCAGGGGTCCCTTTACCTTTACCTAGATGCAACAGTATGTGATTGAATCTTACCTGCAAAATAGTGGCAGTCTGCAATTGCCCCTCGTAGGCAACCTGATGCACAAAGGAAAAACATTCTACAGATCTTCAGCCAGGGGGCAGCTCCAGAGAACAGTGAGGTATACAAGAAGGTGAACAGCAGTCAACAGAGGAGCTTGTTGGAAGCCCAACAAAAAGCCCAACATGGTCTTTTGAATTCCCCTTGGTCTTAATTTTGCTTTCTATTAATCATCCCGTTGTGCTTATAATTAAGTTCACCCACGTAGGGATATATTTTTTTTAACATACTTTTAATAGATAATCTATAAGTGAATTGATCATTCTAAGCTCTACTAAGTAACTAAAATGACAGGCTAGATCCATATTCATAAGGTGTGATATTGTATAAACTGGAGTGTGAGAAAAATGTTATTGGGGGACACTTTTATGAAGGATGGTGGTGCTATCCTTTTAGATACACTGGGCACAGTTTAAAAGATGAGTTTAAAAAAGCCATGTGGGTTAGTCTGATTATGTGATTCAGCTGAGAAGATGATTTAGGAAAAGTGTTGTTTACATGCTGCATTCCATCTCCCCTTAGCTGCCTATGCCCCCCACCAACCTGCCTTTAGTTGCAGGGGGTGCATCTCCATCTGTCCCAGTGCCACACTTTCAAAAATCATGGCTCAGAATTAGGAACAAAAATCTGTATCCCCTTTTCTCTCCCATAAAGGCAGTGGAGGTGGGGATATATATTAAATTAAAATCAAGGGCTTACGTCATCAGACTACGGCAGTAAATTTAACGAAATGTCTTTTTTTAAAAAAGAATAATTTCTTATTAACCGACCAATCACATCAAATCAAACCAAATTACATAAATTCCAAATTACACAGCCGAATTTTAAATTTTTGTTGGGGGTACCCATATTTCAAGTTCCGAAGGGGATCCAATCAACTTCTTGCTTCTTGCTGCTGTTTTAATGTCCACAAATCTAACCATATGATGTTCACAGTACTATCCAGTCCTTTCTTATTGTTTTTCCACATTTCTTGTTGTTATTTTCATATATTTTTCCTTTCTCTTTGTGACCTCTGATAGTCTCCACAAGCTGGTTAAAACAGTTTGTAATCCTGCGTGGATATTATTATTATTTTTATCCAGTAGCATATCCAGACGTTTTCCATATAACATCACTTCCATACATCAAAACAGTCTTAGCGTCATTAATCTTCACCAATCTGCCTCCTTTCTCAAACCTCTGAGGAGATTCACCAGGAATGCAGTCTGAAAACAAGTCCATTCCTCCTCCCAGCTATAAATCCTTTGGCAAGATGGCGACTCTGAATTAATTGCTGCGCCATTCCAAAAGCTCTTATTGCTTCTCGATCTCCATAAAGCATACTTTTGGTTAAAGTTTATCTCCACACAGACCTTAATCATCCTGCTTGGGTCAGTTAAACCGACGGTTCTAATGAGGAGGGGTTCTTGGTAAATCACATAGAAGGAAAGTAAAAAAGGTTCCACCCCCCCCCCATTTAGTCCCGTTGCCGACATACCCAGCCTTTGGTGTATCTTCATCGTAAATTATTCCTGTTGCTCCAACCCATTGTCCTCTTTCGCAGAGGTCCCTTAAATTAGCAGTCTTCACTCCCCTTTTTCACTTGAAATATGTGCATTTGCTTCTTTTGTAATTAATTATTCCAAATTGCTGCAGCTAGTGCGCGATCAGAGACAGCATCCAGGAGAGCCGAGGTCCACACGGGGGCATTCTGCCTAGTGCCCTCACCCCCTTCTTTCGAATTTGGAGGTGATTTATGGGCACAGCAGGCAAGGGCAGTGTTCCCCATTCCCTTGGGGCAACAAGGGAGGCTGCCTACTCCCATAACAGCCTCTTAATTACCCCGTGTGGGTCGGAGAGATGGTATTGTCGGCCATCTTCCAATGCGCCCCTAGTGGCCCCCCAAATTTAACGAAATGTCAATTGTAAACTTGGGCATTCTGTTCTGAAAAGAAAGAAAACTGGATTCAACTTCCCCAAAGTGACTTGAAATACCATATATTTTGTGTAGAGGCAGAAGACGTTGCATTAAGTACATGATAGCAAGCTTGGAAACGTCGCAACCCTGACTCTTGCAATGTAGCTGTTGAATTAGCTCTGTTTCCTCCCATTTGGCACAATAATACAAAAATACTGTATATCTGCGAACACTTAAGGGATTTAACCACCATTTGTTTTATTTGTAGCCCCACAATTATGTTAATGAATCACCTGTGTTGCACTGAACTACTCTTGTGCTCGATAAAGCTTTGAGACTGGGGCTGTGAGTCATCAGCTTGAAACTGCATATTACTGAATGTGTGTTCAGCAGCAAGCAGCAGTAATCATTAATGCTCAGGAAAATGGTAATTTCTCATCCATATTCCTAAACATGAGCACGCTTTCAGAATCAAAATTGATAGTTACTTTTTACATCACACATGTAAAAGGGGGAGGAAAGGAAAGGAAAATCTATCAGCTACTCTTTTTCTGTTTTCCATGCCCAGTGATGAAGAGTGCCAATTTCAGGAAGGGATGAGGACTGAAAGAGAAGCATGTTGCTTTGGATTTTGGAATGATGACAAAACCAATAGCATTTCCAACAGCACCCCATAGTTGAATTTGTCTGGATTTAACCATCCAGGGGTCTTTTACCTTTTTTTACCCTTATGTACCCTCAGCTAGTTTAAAAACCAAACAAAAAATTGTTTTGTACGATAGGGGTCCACATTCCCCAAATATTCATTTGCTTTGGAACTGTTGAAGTGAGCCCCATTTAAAATCAAAATTTTCATAAATCTCTGCCAAATTACATTTCACTTTCCTGTGTATAGGAAGCAACCTTTTCTTAGGAACTTTGCCAATTGGCCCTTGTCCGTATCATACCAGTGTCTCATCTGCCAGCTGATTCTCTCCCATTAGCCTGGGCAGTGGATAATTCCTACTCTCCCTTCCTAGCTGAGCTTCTGTTTCAGAAGTTTCCCTCTGTTTCTCTCATATTGCGCTGCCTCAGTTTTTTTGTTAAATGACCTTGCAAGATATTTAGAGATCTAATCTCTCTCTCTCTCTCTCTCTCTCTCTCTCTCTCTCTGTGTGTGTGTGTGTGTGTGTGAGAGAGAGAGAGAGAGAGAGAGAGATATCACCTTGGTTCCTGATTCGAACATAGCTTGTTGTGCACTCTAGTACAACATTGCTCGGACAAGTTCATGCTTACAGTTCTCCCATGCAAATTTTGTGGTAAACACACATGCCCTGAATATTCTGTGAGTGCACAGATATTTCCCAAATATTTGGTCAAGTTGTTGTTGTTTGTTGTTGTTGTTAAAAAACTTAATTAATAAAAAGGGGAGATTCTCAGTGCCACATTTTTTAGCCCAAAGTTCAAGTGTCAGCATTGTAGAGTTGGAAAAGTTGCAGGACAAGAGACCCAGGAGCAACTTCCCTGCAAGGAAAGGATAAAGCATTTGGGGCTCTTTAGGTTTATTAAAAATAATAATAATAAAGTGGGAGATGCAAGAGGTGTTTGTAGAATTGTGCACGGCATGGAGAATGTGGAGAGAAGCATCCCTTGCACTTCCTCTCTCATAATAGTAAGATTTGGGGTTATTCAGTGGAAGAGCAATGTTCCATGTTCAGTTTCTGACATCTGCAGGTAGGACTCAGATAGGATCCAGCCTGAGACCCTGGAGACCCACTGTCAGTTCATGACCTAAATGGACCGATGGTCTGACTTGGCATAACTGTCTTAGTTACATCTCTTGAGCTAGTTTCAAACATCGCCATGATGATCTAACAAAGAGGAAGGCAGCCGGGACTGACAGCTTTCTCTATGCTCATTTATGGGCAGTTATGCTATCTGTGTTCTTGTGGGGCTCTTGCATTCCAGAGTCGATGGTGCGAGTCCTGCTCATGTGCACAGCTTTGGATCACACTCATTAGGTACCACTCTCTTGAGCGTTGTGCCAAAAGTGGAAGGGGATTTGCTACAAGTGAGAGAGGATCAGCCAGAGGTTGACTGCAGCCTGCCTAAAATGTCACTAGGGACAGATGGCAATTACCAAATTTACAATGGAGTAAGTACCACATAAATACAGTGTCTGTGCAGGTGAAAAGGCTGCAATAGAATTGCAACCCATTAACTTTGGATCAGGCCCAACTGCTTTAATTAGGCTGTTCTGGAGAAAATCCGTTGTGCGTTGCGGCTAAAGCAAATGAGTTTGGCTCTTAAGTAAACCTTTGTGACAGAATTTATGCAAGGCTTTGAAACTTACTAAAGTGGTCCAACTGAAGAAAGAACAGTCCCTTAAATGAGATACAAATTATTTGCTCCTTTTATGACTTTTTGTACCTTTTGCCCTTGCGTATTGTCAAGGAACTGCCATCAGTACCGGAGGGAGAGAGCAAGATCCAGAGGGATTCCAGAGAGCGTCCCGGGATTGGGAGAGGCAGCCCATCTCCTGGGGAAGAGAATCGGCGTAGCACCAGTGGAGAAGGGGGGCAGATGGGGGAAGCGGCGAGGCGGTCCCATGACTCCTTGCCGGGGACCAGCGGGGAGAGTAGGGGTCCTCCGCTGCCTACGCCCTCCTTGCGCAGAAGGCTTTCACGCAGAGAGTAGGAGGAGACTAGGCGTCAAAGAGCTTCTTTGCTGGAAGAAGTTTAAGAAACGCCCACTGACGGATTCTGCCAGCGATTGAGACAGCCACGGGTGAGTGGCTGTCCGGACAGAAAAGGTTCACTCAGGCAACCCAGCCAGGTGTTTGCACCGGCTTACGCACGAGGAACCCCTAGAACCACTACACGTATGTATAACCAAAACAAACTTGTTTGGTGGAAAGAAGGGGAACAGAAAATACTGCACTCTTTCCCCCCCTCTTTTGTCTTTCTCTTTAGCAGTGTGGGCTTCATATGCAAGCCCAAAATGAGGCATTCTAGATGTGAAAAGATTTCCTAGCGGGAGCCTGGACATGCATAGCAATTCAGGAAGTGCTTTGTGCTAAGAACAGCCCGGCTAAGTTTCTGAGAAAGCAAGATGCCCAGCAAATGGTGGGAATATGCATGGAAACATAGCCATAAGGCTGCACAGTGACTGAGTGGGTTTTTGGGTAATGACATCTACTTCCTTCTCCAGCTGCACTGGCCCCAGATCTCTTGCCCCTCCATGGTACCAGGTTAAGATCACTTTGGAAAATGAGCTGGAATAGCTCTGTTGGTATAGTATCGGACTCTTAATCTCAGGGTTGTGGGTTTGAGACCCACGTTGGGCAAAAGTTTGGACCAGATGACCCTTAGGTAAAGGTAAAGGGACCCCTGATCATTAGGTCCAGTCGTGGACGACTCTGGGATTGTGGTGCTCGTATCGCTTTACTGGCCGAGGGAGCCGGCGTACAGCTTCCAGGTCATGTGGCCAGCATGACTAAGCCATTTCTGGTGAACCAGAGCAGCGCACGGAAACACCGTTTACCTTCCTGCCTATTTATCTACTTGCACTTTGACGTGCTTTCGAACTGCTAGGTGGGCAGGAGCAGGGACTGAGCAACGGGAGCTCACCCCGTCGTGGGGATTCGAACCGCTGACCTTCTGATCAGCAAGCCCTAGGCTCTGTGGTTTAACCCACAGCGCCACCCGTGTTTGGACCAGATGACCCTCATCCCTTACAACTCTACAATTCTGTAATTCCATGACTGTTGCTTCTACTCATTGCCTGGTTCACCTGCATCCGCTGCTTCCTTTCTGCAGTCCTATTCAGCTCTTGCCCACCATCTCAGCAAGCTCTGCATAACTCCTGTCTGCACAGCCCCATCCTGATTGCCTTAATCCTGTACTCTATTGCTTGGAAGTTCCTGGTGAATGCAGAGGGGTAAGACTGGTGTATTAAATGCTGATGTCCCAAGTGTTCATGCATTCAAAGAGAACAGAAGGAGTCAAGGTTCTATTAGCTGTTTTCAGAGTGGGGAGTGGGTGCAGTTGAGCTAGCCAAGGGTCTGTTGTATCCTAAGCCAGTCCATGTACCTGCAAGCTGTGGCAAGGGGCCCAATTCAGGCTTGTTTCCTGTCTCATCCTGGAACTTTCGCAGCAAACTTGCAGACCTCTCCTGCCTTCTCACCTTCCACCCTGGACAGTGGAATCAGAGGAGCTGCGGGTGCAAGTGGTGGCTCCACCACTCTGCAAATCCCCTCTGCTGCCAGCCAGGAGATCGGATTGTGCACTTGGCAACAGCCCACCCTCAGATAAATATTGCTGAGATATTTTAAGCAGCGCAGAATGCCAGTAATAGTACTTACTGTGACTAAAACATTAAATCGGGCAAAAATAAAACAACATGTATAGCTCCTTGCCAAGAAAGCTGAAAAATACCTGATGCCATTGTTTGTTTTAATTGAAATGCCTAAACAATTGAGTTCCCTCCACTTTTCCTTTAAGTTTTAGGTCATGGAACGCCAAACAGGATTTGCATCACACTCTATCCCGAAGCCTCTATTTGCTTGCAAATGCCAGAATTAACCGCCCGAAACCAGCTCTTGGAAATGACTGTGGAACTTTCATAGAACATCGTAGATTAAAATCTGCAGTGCTTCACCAACATAGATGAAGACATACTGCACACTGTGAAAGGTAATATTCTATACCTATTTTGAGAGGTGTTATTAAGACAGAACATTAAAAAAATGATGAAGAACAGATGGCATCGTTCTCTCTGGATGTGGATGCCCACATGTTTCCTTTGAATAACTCTTTGTGTGTGATTCCCGCCCCCCCCTACTTATTTTTGTTGCAATTAGTAACATTTTGTAAGTATACCAGACAGTTTCTCCCTGACGAGCCTTTCTTCTTGTCAGCTGTGAGTCTGGTCTCATTTACATGAAGAGCGATTCAAAGTGTTTGGTATACAAAGATGGAAGGATGGGAAATCTGAGGCCCTGCAATTATTGTTGGACTCTTAACTCCCATCTGCCCCAGCCAGCATGGCCAGTAGTCAGGGGTGGTTGGTTTCTTTAATTGTGATAATTTATTTAGACCAGGGTTTCCCAAACGTGGGTCTTTAGCTGTTTTTGAACTACAACTCCCATCATCCCTAGTTAGCAGGACCAGTGGTCAGGATGATGGGAATTGTAGTCCAAAAGCAGCTGGAGACCCAAGTTTGGGAAACCCTGATCTAGACCATTTCAGTAGCAACTTACCGTATTTTTCCATCTATAAGACGACCCCATGTATAAGACGCCCCATATTTTTGGGGACTCCAATTTAAGAAAATGGGGAGAGATGGCCCCCATGCATAAGACGCCCCCAAATTTTGGACATTATTTTTTAGGGGGAAAAACTAGGGGGGGAAACATGGGAAAATACGGTACATTTCTCTCTCTCTCTTTCTCTCTCTCTCTCTCTCTCTCTCACACACACACACACACCCCTACCTATATCTCCAAGCGGTTTACAACATACTGTAAATTGAAACATGAAATGAAACATTAAAATATATCAATGTGAAGCATTACAAATGAAACTAGAGTACAAAATACAACAAAGACCCACATTTAAAGCAGCATTATTAACAAGAAAATAAACTGTTATCTGAAACATATACTGTATATTTAAAAAAAATGTGAATAAGACTCAAACTTAGAAATGTAATAAAAAACCCCACATCATTAGTGGTTAAACAAAATAATTAAGGTAGAAGCCGTACCCCCACTAACCCCCCCCACTCAATAACATCTCCCAAACACATCCTTAGCACTCTCCCTCATACAAAATTCACTCTCAACTATTTGTATCCACCATACTCATAATTGAGGGGTGGTGTGTCCTGTTTCACTGCTTGAGGTGAAATGGGAAGGGCCACCTTGCCCTGCCTCTGCTACCTACCATACCTCTTGCTGCCGGCACTGCTGCTCTGTGGTGCCTTGTTGCACAGTTCTCCTGTTCGGATTTTAAATATACTTCAACTGAGAAAATGCACGCTCAGCTGAGCAATTTGTGACCATTAATGTTAAAAATCTGGCAATGGAAAATTTCTGTGGTGTCCCCCTTCCCTTGACGCCCTAAGCACGTGCTCATTTTGCTTAATGGTTAATCCAGCCCTGTTCACGCCACAATAAATTGGTTAGTCATTAAGGTGCCACAAGTCGCCCGTTTTGTTGCACCAGACGAACATGGCTCTGGAAAACGTTACTGGTAAAAACATAAGACTGATTCCCTGAAATTTGGATAGGCTTTTTTTTAAAAAAAAAATATGAATGTGCAAATTTACTTTCTCTCATTACTTTAATCTCCATGACATTTAAATAATTCCTCGCTTTTAGTGGCTTTTGTCTCCAGAGAGCTTTAGACAAATTAACTAATTCACAATGGATTCTAGGCTTATTCAGAATGGCGTCACCTTGGCCAAAGTCACTGTAGTAGTGTTACTGGAAGCCATTAACACCAGCTGACAGAGACCATAATTTATTTTTTGCTTCTGCCTCCACAGAGAGTGGTGTTTGCTTCGCAGAAAATAATACAGTTAATCTTGCACATTTCTGCCAAACCTATCAGTTTTTGGTGCTGCTGCCAGTTTTGACTTTCAGCTTCTAATCTAGAGGGATCATTTGAATAATTTAGTCAGGAAATCCAGTGCTCTTGTTGGTCTTCCATCAAGCCGTGCTTGATAGAATCTGGTTTGCAGCATAGCACTCAGGGTCTTGGTCAGAACCTTTCTGTCTTCTGTTCTGCACTGTCTGTGGGACACAAGATCTGGCGCCAAGGGTTGCAAGAGAGCAAATGGAGGAAAACAATGTTTTCTTGCTCAAGTCCTGTGAACCAGGCCTGCCCCCTGCGCTGGTATTGTACTACAGACCCTACAAGTGTCCCTATTTTCCAGGGAAAGTCCAGATTTACAGAAGCCATCCCAGTTTCTGATTTTATCCCGGAATGCCCCGCTTTCCCTTAGGACGTCCCTATTTTCATCTGAGAAATGGAAGGAATGGAATTATCTGAACCCTGAGCCATCTGAAGGCAGCCCTTTATAGGCATTTTTTTTTTATGTTTAATGTTTTATTATGTTTTTATATATGCTGGAAGCAACCCAGAGCGACTGAGGCAACCCAGTCAGATGGGTGGGGTATAAATAGTAAAATTATGATTACTGATGAATAGGACGTCCCTATTTGTTCTAGAGAAGTCTCATGCACAAAACAAAGTCCCGTTGACTTTACTGAATCTTACCTTGCTTAATACAGTTGTGATTAGGAATGAAAGTCCTGTTCTTGTTTCTATAACAATCTGAGTGCCCAGAGTGCTGCAGGAATTATAAATAATTACAATCTTATCTGGATTAAAGTCAGATGAATAGGGGAAACAGAAGTTCTGTAGATCCTTAACATTTAAGCCTGTGGTTAAACTGTACTGGATACAATTTCAAAGGCAGTGAAGACACCTAGAGTCCACTGAGTATGGCTGATTGTCTCTCCTGCGTAAAACTGCACATTGTACAAAACTGAAAATGTGTTCACTCGTACAGCTGAATTAATTGTCCTGTCATGCAACAGTAAGCTGGGGCAGATGCGCCTTCTGTTTATTTGCTTGAGTGTTTCGGTTCTTTGTTTTTGCTTTGATGCTGCGCTCCCAGCAGTGGCACAGAGGAAAAAACCTCATCCACATGCTTTAGCGATGCGAGCTGATCTCTCTCCCCTTGCACCAGGGTAGCAGCAGGAGCCATGGGAAATTATGTAGAAGCTCTGGGGGGGGGGAGCCCTTGTGCAGCACATGCTTTCCCTGAAGGCTTTTAGAGGCTGTGAAAGGAGTGGAGGAGGAGTGTGCATGGTGCCAGCTTAACACTGCAAGAGCAGTAGTTTGCACTGGAGCAGAATGGAATGGAAACCGAGGTATCAGGGCCCCGAGGTATGTGATGTCCTGCTTCAGACTACAGAAATTGGGTTGTTCTATTTTTGAAATCTCTCCTCAAATGTTAAAACCTGAAAAACAGAAAAGCAGCACAATGAACAGTTGGCTGAGCTGAAAGCTGTGCACCTGGATAGGCTAGGTTATTGGTTTGTTTGTTGTCGTTTGGCAGGGAACATTCAAAAATGTGTCTTATCGTGTGGTACAGCCCACACAAATCTAACTCCCTTTTTCTGCTGCAAGTGAGATTTCAGGCAGAGATCAGAGGAAAGAAGGATTCCAGTAGAGCTTCTTGCACAGTAAAGTTTCCTGCAGGTCCCCCCCAAATGCAAATTCTTCCTGCATTGCTATCCACTTGCCTCTTCTCATCTCACCTTTTAGTTTGAAA